GAGGCAGGGTCTGCTCCCAGTGTCCTTACTGCCCTAAATCCCATCTTGAGGAATCCTTAACTCTCTCAGGCTTTCATTCTCTCCATTGTTCATATGAAAGGACCCGCCTTCCCTTAACCCTTCTTCTTTGGGTTCTCTAATAGGAGAAAAATAAATTCACTTAAAATACCCAATGAACGATACAAACCCACTGGGCACTACTATATAAAATGGGGTTTTGAATGACATGCCTGGGGAAACAATCAGAATAGCCATGAGTCTCTTCTGATTCTGGATATCTGAGGAAAATACGTATCCTGAAGAGTTGACAGATGCATATGGGCACGCTGTCATGGTACTCTTCAGGCCATAAACTTTTAAAGTGTTTTCTTAGTGCTTAATGACTTGTGGGGCAATTTCTCTAAGTTCCTGGTCAACATGGGAGCTTGCCTTTGCTCCATACCTCCCAAAGGCATCCCCGCTGTCTGCAACTCTCCTCAGAGGCAGTGGGATCCTCAGGGTAGCAGTTGAACTTCTCCAGATCATTGACTACAAGATCCCACTCTATAGAGAATTCTTGTCCCAGAACCAGTCCCTGGAGATCAGTGATGGTCACCACCTGGGGAAGACAAAGAAGACTCCAGTGACAAATGAGATGAGGTAGAATTGTGTGGACAGAGTCCTGCCTGGTGGTCTGGAAGCCATGTGTAAATACTCCCCAGTACTAGGCTAATGTGTGCAAAGTGTTTCCCTGGGTCTTAACCGGGCTCAGCCTGTCTAGTTCTAAATGTCTAGAAAAGAGTTCTCCTTTCTTAGGGTTCCAACTCTCATATCTTCTTCAGACCCTAATGTAAGCAAAGTGGTAGGATTTGGATTTCATGCAAAAGTTTCCCCTGCACTCTGCCTGTGATGCCGTGGCTGTCCCAAGCCAGTATCCTATCTGACTGCCCAAAGTCAAAAAAAACAAAGAGGGACTATTCTTCAGAATCTCAGGCCAGGGCTTTCATCAAGGACCTGTGAGATGGAACAATCTCTCACCTTTGTTGAAGCACTGTAGACAACACTTGAAATGGAGGTGGCGACATTATTTAAAGACACAATAAAATTACTCGGCTCTTTGTCCATTCCCAAGATTCTGATATCTGTAAACATGAGGTTGTCCGGGTCCACATAACCATTATGTATGATCTTTGCCTGTAGACGGTTCTGCAGGGGAAAAGCCAGTTTGCAGTAAGTGCGTCACATTCAATATCTCTCTGGGATCTTATGTGTTTCCCTTTTCTCTGTGTCCTAAAGGCTGCTAAGTGTCATCCCCAGGGAGCCTCTGACTCAGACTCAAGATCCTAAGTCTTTCAATAGTATTTCATGTTTGCTTTGGGCCACTGGCTCTTACTGATTCATTACTCAGATTATCTGACCCTGACATTAAGGATAGTCTGGTAGACAGGATAGGTTCTTGCAAGGCAAACAGAGATACAAGCACACACAAAGACCACTGGTACACAGATATAGACACACACACACACACACACACACACACACAGAGTAACTTTTTCTTTTAATTTTAATTAATAATAAGAGCTAAAATTTATGAATGCTTACAATGTTCAAGGCACTGTGCTAAGGTGTTTACATATATGTTGCCTCGTTTAATTCTCCCAGCAGATTATGAAGTCAAAATTATAATTATCCCCATTTTTTAGATGAGAACACTGAAACACAGAGAAATTAGATCACTAATTTAGGGAGCCAGAGTTTAAAAGCAACAGAGCTGAGTTCAACAAAGAAAGTGGGACTGAACACTAAAGAGCAAAGGATCACTTGGATACTTGCAGAGAAGTCCCACATAATGTGCCTGATACCTGACCGAGGTTCAATGGCGACACAAGAGAGAAAGGATGGCCAACTCAACAAGGGTGAGAGGGCAGCTGGGTGTCACAGGCAAAATGTTGAACCTGGCCTAAATCAAAATGGATCAAACAGAACACGGACTTAAATGTAAAAGTTAAAATTTTTAAATCTTTAGAAAAAAAATATATAGGAGGAAAATACCGAGTATCTATGGCCAGTAAAAGATTCTTAGAAAAAAAATTCTTAGATATTATACCAAGAACATAATCTATAAAAAATAATGAGAAATTAGACTTACCAAAAATTTTAAATTTGCTTTGTGAAAGACTACAAAGAGAAAAAGTATTGGTAAACTTCATGTTTGACAAAGGACTGATACTGAAAATATGTAAGAACTCTCAAAACTGAACAGTTAAAAAAATAATGTCAAGGGCTGTGGTTGTGGCTCAGTGATAGAGCACTTTCCTAGCACATGTGAGGCACTGGGTTCGATCCTTGGCACCACATAAAAATAAAGAAAGAAAATAAAGGTATTGGATCCATCTACAAGTAAAAATATTCTTTTTAAATGACAAAATAATTCAATTAGAAATTGGGCAAAGAATCAAACAAAGATTTCATTGAAAAGAATTTACAAATGGCAAACAGACCAACATCATTAGACATCAGAGAAGAACAAATTAAAGCTGCAATGAGATATCATCACACACTTTTCAGAACAGCTAAAATGAAAAATAGCAACAACATCAAGTGCAGGTGATTATGCAGATACTAGGTCGTTCATATCTTGCTGGTAGAAATGTAAAGCAGCCCTTCCACTTTGGAAAACAGTTTGGAGGTTTCTTATAAAACTGAACATGGGCCAGGCATCGTGGGGCACACCTGTAATCCCAGTGGCTTGGGAGGCTGAGGCAGGAGGATCATGAGTTCAAAGCCAGCCTCAGCAACTTAGCAAGGCTCTAAGCAGCTCAGCAAGCCCTGTCTTTAAATAAAATATAAAGAGGGCTAGGGATGTGTCTCAGTGGTTGAGTGTCCCTGAGTTTAATTCTTGGTACCAAAAACAAATAAAACAATACCAACAACAACAACAAAAACTAAACATGGACAAATAAAAGACCCAGCAACTGGACTCTTGGGCATTTGTCTCAAAGAAATAAAAAGCTCTGTTTTGTATAAAATCTGTACATGAATTTCCATAGCAGTTTTATTTAGAATAGCCCATGACATGAGATGCTCAGGTCCCAGTGCCAACCTGTACATGGGTATATTCCAGATTCCCTTTATCAAATGAATAATACCTGGAAACTACTGATATATAAAAAATATGACAACATGGAAGAATTTTGAGAAGATTTTGATAAATGAAGAAAGCAAATTTCCAAACTTACATATACTACATAATTCCATTTACATAAAATTCTTAGAAGAACAAAATTACAGAAATGGGAACAGATTATTGGTTGCCAGGGAATACAGAAGGAGGCAGGTGGGTATGGCTATAAAAGGGAAAGAAGAGGGATCTTTGTAGTGATGGAGATGCTCTATGTTTTGAAAGAATCAATGCCAATAACCTGGCTGTAAAATTATTCAACAATTCTATAAGATTAAGGGAACTGTGTACAAGGTGCATGGTAGCACAGTGTTATGTATTATAACTGCATAGGGATCTTTATCTCAAAATGTAAGTTTAATTTTTTAAAAAAATGTGAATTTATAAGAAAAGATAAAATTTATAAGAAAAGGAAAAAAAAGGATAGAGATCCTTACGAGAGAAATATCTGTACACACATAATTGGACTTCCAAGAAAACCAAATTAGAATTTAGATCGTAAGATTGACTGGTGGAGGGATGCAGTGCCTGTTGGAAGTGGGTTTGCAATCACCCTAACACTTTCTGTCAGCCTGGCGGCTTTTCCCTCTCCTCAGGCCCTTGGGAAATGGAGGGAGACAAGTAATGTCCTGTACTTTCCAAACTTTCCAAGCTACTACTGGATGCCTGTGTTCGAAGGCAAGTTTTAGGGGCTCAGAAGGAAAAGAGAACCTCAACAAAGCATTTCATTCATCAACCACACTGTACCCCCCACACACTTGTACCCCTCTGAAGGACACATCTTAGAAGTCCTGACTCATCACCTAAATCAAATGCAATGATATTTTCCATATATATATATATATATATATATATATATATATATATATATATATAATTTCTGCACACAACTCAGAATTTTTTTCAGAGCTTATTATTCATCTGACACAGATTAAACACTTCAGTGTTATCTCAAATCCTTTCCAGGACATACAGTCAAACGTTGCTGTCCCTATTTTATGTAACCAAGCATCTATAGAACACCAAAAACTCAAACAGCAACCTCAGCAAGGAGCATCAAGTGTGTGTTTCATGAAAATAGTACTTACAGAAGTAACAGAGAAATCATACAGAATATATGTCTTATTAGTTACAGCATCTGAAAGAGAAAGATAGATGCAGGTCCATCACTGTGGGCAGCAGAGGAGTCTAGCTTTTTTCTTTACCTGACATACCTTTGCATCTAATCTGCACATTTTTGTCAACCACCACAGAAGTTTCTTGGAGCACTTTCTATGAATTCTTATTACTCTTTGTGGTACTGTTTTGCTCAAATTAATACTGTTTGAATTGCATTATAGTTTTCCACTTGCTTAGTACCTATCCTGTTAGACTATGGCTTTCCCAAGGTACATTTTATATCACATTCTTGTGCATATGTCTTGTTTATTATATATTAATAAATAGCAAATAAATATTAACAGTTCTGACTTCATTCAGGGTGGAATTTTTATATAATCCCAGGCTAAAAACTTGTGAGGCATGCATATGAAAAGCTTAAAATTTAAAAGCACGCTATACAAATGAGATTCATCTGCCTCAAGAGCAACTGAATCTGTACTTTACAAAGATGTAACCAAAATGTATTGCTTTGTATAAATAATGATATCCAGAGAAGAGAATAAGTAAACTAAACAAACTGATGTCTGTTGCTTTGGAAGGGTCCATAACACAGAAGCTGGACATTTTGAAGTCATTTATGCACTGTGTGTGGCTAACGGAACTTATCAGTTGAGTTCTCACTCAATAATTATGAGCTACAGAAATAAACAGTATGATAAGAGTGCCTTACTGGGCAGCCTTCAGTGATTCGCTCCCACTGAGGGCCACAGAGATGGCCCCAGGAGGAAGACTACCTTTAGTCACACCGTCGTCCCAGTACAGCTCTCCTTTGGCTTCTCTCTTATAGTCCAAGGCGACGATGAGTCCCAGGGAATTCTTCCGGCTGAGAAGAGTAGTTCCCAGTTTCAGAGAATGAAGAAGAGAGGGATCCATGTGAAACCAGACCCCTTGATGTCCCAGGGACAGATCTCCCAGAGTCCATCCCAGAAACTTAGTAGATCCTAACATTGTGTGCAAACATGGAAGTTGGGTGTAGGCAGACAGCAGAAGTTAGTAGAGTGATCGTAAGATTGACTGGTGGAGGGATGCAGTGCCTGTTGGTAGTGGGTTTGCAATCACCCTAACAGTGAATATGTATTGGGTGCTTACCCTGTGACAGGCACTCTTGTAAATATCCTACACGCGTTGTCATCTGTATCAATCCAATTAACAATCACAGCCATTGTAAAAAGTCAGACTATCATCCTCCCCAGTTTATCAAGGAAAAGCATAAGTTCAGAAAAGTGAGGTGCCCAGGGTATATATATATTGCAGAGCCAGGACTTGAACTTAAACTGTCTGTCTCCAGAATCTGAGCTCCTGAACTCGAAGCTATGTTGAAGTCGCACGATCACCCTTTATCTCGTTCTGAATTTGTGTTCTCCCACACAATAGGGGATTTACCTGAGGATAATTTCTGGCCACAGGGAAATCCTCATGGGTTATTATTTTGCTTATCCCTATAATTTAATTTAATACAAGTGTAAAGAACTATAGAAATGTTAAGGAACTGAGGCTACATTTGCTCCTGCCCAATGAGGACTCAGAGGACAATTTGGAGCCAACTTTGAAAGGAGGAGAGGGAGACTGCTTCCTGGCACTATTTCCTTGGCCACCTGCTCTCGGCCTCTACTGTCTACCTCATAATGCCATGTCCCACTAGGGCACCAAAGTAGTCACGTCCTAGAAGACACAAGAGCTTACTTACCTGGTTTCTGTGGTTGTGTTCGGCTGCTGGATGGGAAATATGTAGCCTCCTCGAAGGTGAAGGCCAATCCTGTCCCCTGGGAGTAGCATATCCACAAATTGCTTTCTCCACTGGATGGCATCTCCCTAAGCCACAAAAGGAAAGAGAACGTGAGGACTACGAAGAACCTTGGAGATCATCCAGTTCAATTGCCTCATTTTAAAGAAGAGAAAAATGGAGACTTCCAAAATGAAGTGACTTTCTTGAGGTATATAGCGGGTAGAGAGCAGAGTTGAGACTCCAATCCACACCCTTCCTTTACGGCATACCATACTGTACAACGCACTTGGAATCAGGATGTTCCCAAAGGTCCATGTGTTAAAGGTTTGGTTCCAGTGTGGAGCTATTAGTAGGTGGTGGAAACTTTTAGTAGGTGGGGGCTGCCTTGTGAGAGGTTTTAGGGCATTGTTGGTGTATACTTAAAGGGTCTCTACCTCTTCTTTTTCTCTCTTTCACTTTCTGGCCATGAGTTGAGAGGTGCTTCACCATAAGTTCTTGCTGTGATGTGCCATCACAGGCCCAAAGCATAAGGCCAATTAATCATGGACTAGAACCTCTGAAACTACAGCTGAAATAAACCTTTTCTCTTTATAAGGGGATCATTTGGTGTACTTGTTATAGTAACAGAAAACTGACTAACACACCACAATTCCCCCAACTGAGCTTGAGTTCTTTATATTATCACAGATAAAGGCCAATAACTGCACAGGTCCAAGAATTAAAGAGTAAATTTCCAAAAAACCTACTCCAGCTATTCAAATTATTTCACTGTACATTTTAAAAAGTCTTCTACTATAATCTTAGTGTCAATGTCCTCCTAAAACTCATATTTTGTAACCTAATACCCTATTATGGTGATATTAAGAGGTGGGGCATTTGGGTAAGTGCTTAAGTCAAGAGGGCTCAGTGAGAAGTGCCATCAGTGAAGAAGAGTGAGCCCTCACCAGACACTGCCTCTCCTATTGCCTCCATCTTGGACTTTTCAGCCTCTAGAACTTGGGTGATAGATCTTGGTTGTTTACAAATTACCCAGTGTAAGGTATTTTGTTACACCATCCTGAATGTACCCACAATCAATTAAATGTAAAACCTCGTATGATTATCCTACCCCGAGCCCTCAAGACTGCTGGCATACAATTGCTCTCTGCCAGAGGCATATTTCTGAGACAATTGGAGTCACTGCACTTACTGCCTCGTAGTCATACCAGGTGGCATCTGGAATGTACGCTCTTACTTGGTCTGCACCCTAGGGAAATGAAAAGGAAAAGCAAGGGTAGCATCCCACTTTACAGTTTACCCAACACCTCCACATCACTGCACGTCATCATTTGAACAACCCTGGGAGACAGCGGGGATCATCCACTCCACTAATAAAAACTGCAGAAATCCCGAGAGGTTGGGCAGTTTATTCAAAGCAGGGTTGTATCTAGAAATTAAGTCTGTAATGCTTGTGCATTTTCTAGGGAAAGCATAGAAAGTTCATACACTGAGTCATGCTGGGTGGAGATGATCCAGCCAGGCCCCCAAGACAAAAACCTAGCTCCTGTGTTTATAAGCAGGTGTACTCAATTCCTATCCTTCCCTGACCTTCCCCACTCAGCCCTGCCCCAAGTCACACTTCAGGAAAATGCAGGTGGTCCTCTATGCAGGGACCTCAGAGTAACTCTCCCACCTTTGACCATCCCTCTGTTTTCCCTCCCTGCTCTTCAACATATCCAAACTTTCTTCTCAGCCCAACCCCAAAGCACACCCTTCTGGTTATCGGGAAACACACATGTCAGCACACACACACACCAAGGTATTTAAAACCCATGTCAATGCCATCCTGAATGTCTAATGACACAGGTTGTGAGGCAATTTTTCAAGATGAAAATTGTTTTCCTTGGTGGGTCAATGAACCAAGAATACTCTTTTCCTATTTCTAAACCTTTATGGGCTGTCTTATTTATATACATAGTCAGATTTAAATACAATCATAGATGCTCAGGACCTGGTTCATTCAGCTGGAATGCAACAAGGACAAGTGTAATATCCCACCCTGTCGTTCAGGTTACAAACATACTTCATACAGGACAGGTGTGATGAGGAGTCCAGGCCCCCACAAAAACTGCTCATGCACTTCCCACGTGGCTGGGTCCTGGTAGAATCTAGAAAAGAGAGACTCGGTGAGGCATGCGCAATTCTCAGCACAAGACAAGAGCACATGATGTGTCCTAACTCACCTTGTTCCCATTAGCAAGACAAATGAAACGGCTATCTGAAGGGGGTTCTCTGAGGGTTTGGAAACTCACTCATGTAACAGGGGCCTTGCTACTGTCTGCCCCTGGGTGTGAGCGCGGTAGAAGATGGTGTAGAGATAGGGCAGCAGAGTGTATCGGATGTTCAGATAATGTCTGGAGGAATTCAGCAGCAGGGACGCAGAACCGAAGGCAGCAGGATCCTGGTCCTAGAAGAAAATGGAAGCAATGACTGAGTTGTTTTTTCCATCACCATTTAAAAGTCCCCTCGTGACAGGTTTTCCCAGGTGACAGGAGCAATGTTCCCCAACTTGGAGGACGTCAAAGCATTTCCATAACTGAAAGATTCTTGACCCCACTCCTTCGTTGTGCAGCTAAGGAAGCACCATCCAAGGTCACACGACTTCCTCAATGTGGAATTGCAAGCAGGTGGCAGAACTTTCATTTGGCACTTGTCTTCTGAGGGCAGACCAGAGCAGCCCCGGTGGCCAAGAAGCCCACAGAGTTGCAATGGACATAAAGGGGCCACAGTGGGCCCTGCTCCCCCCCCAAACTGCTCTTATTTATTGAGGGTCTTTATAATATTTATTTGGAAGATAATAATAAAAAATTGTACTGAACTGAGGTGCACTACTAAAATAATTTTAAATCCATTTCCCTAGCCATACTGCTTACCGCCATGATCTATAATTCATTTTTTCTTTTCATGTATTTTAACAGATTTTCCAATTTAAAATATTATATCGTTTCATCTGTCATATTTTCGCCATCACAACTTATTTTATTTTCTCTAGCCTGAAGAG